AGTTCCTGCCCTCCAGGACTTGGTCAGCTCCCTTAGCCCACCCCTAAGTGCTTTCCGAAAGTCACCTCATGAACATGTTCAAGGCACGTTCATCACTCAATTCCAAGGTCTTAGGACCTCTGTGCCAGAAATGGGGATGAAAACCAAATAAATATTAGTTATTACAAATCACACATGTGTATCGCTATGTAATCGCTATAACATCGATTATAGCGATTATAGCAGGGCTAACAGGGGAGGTTCTGACAGTCAGCAGAGAAGCGGGCGACAGACTTGTTTTGTGGCCCTGCCCACGTGGGACAGCCCGCTCTGGGCTGGATTTTCTTGTTGGTGAAACGGGGATCGTCGAGAGTAAACTACATTCGTGGGGTTAGAGCAAAGGTTCAGTAATATGAGTGCTTTACCGACTTTAGCACATAGGGAATATTCAGTATGAGGCAGCTATTATTAGGATATGAATTCTATTAAGCAGATAATATGTATCATCTTGGTAAGCAGTTAGGCCCCAGGCACTTCACATGTACCGTCAGAAGAAAAACAAGTGAAACAACCACCAACGATTATCGGACTCTTGTGGCGGGCGCTGTTTTTCAGAGCTGTAGTGAGCACTCGTGATAACCCCGGGAGGAGACATAACCCATCACCTAACACGAGGGGACTGGAAATGCTCACCATCACCTCCATAGCCAGGCTGCTACAGAGCCAAGACGCAGGTTGGCAAGCACTATGCGGACTCACAACAGGATGCATCAGATCAAGGAGCAGGAGGGGAAAGAGAGCAGGGAAGGGGGTAAATGGTGCCACCTCAAGATACGCCTCCTTGACGCCGCCGCAGACACCAGACAAGCTGTAAGAATGGAGTAGAGACACCCTTTTGTAAGTGCCGTTCACACTCACCAGGAAAATCTCCATTTGTAGGGGCGGCTGCCTGAAGACGGGAGGACTCTAAATCTCTAGGAAACCCTGGACCAATGGGAAAGCCTGGACTTCAGTCTACACTGCAACCCACTCTTGCTGACTTCGCTCTCCCTGGTTACCTCCCGTAACTAACTCCCATCAAAATCTTTTGTCCCAGTTGTAGATGGTATTGAAGGCGAAGGCTTCTACCAAGGCCTGTCTCCTGTGCACAGGAGGTGTGTGTGTTATTAAACTTGTCTTTTCCTCCTGTTAATCTGTCTTACATCAATTTAATTACTAGACCAGCCAAAGAAACTACGGGGGAGGGGCACGCTTCTTCCACCCCCACACCCCCCTGCTCTGAGTTGGCTGCTTGGGGAGTGAAGTGACATTTGGGTCTCAGTATTTTGCTTGGTCTGTGAGAAACACTCCAAACGGCAGCTCACATCAGCATTAATAAAGCAGGGCCATAGTTTAAATCAGTGGTCTGTTTGTTTTTTTAAGCAGCCCAACTATTATGGGGGCACCTGCATGGCTCAGTTGGTTGAGCATCTGACTTTGGCTCAAGTCACAATCTCATGGTCTGTGAGTTCAAGCCCCACTTAGGGCTCTCTCCTATCAGCGCAGAGCCTGCTTCAGATCCTCTGTCCGCTCTCTCCGCCCCTCCCCTGCTTGCACTCTCTAAAAAAAAAAAAAAGGCAGCCCAACCATTATCAAATGGCATCTTGCTTAAGTGAGGTGGTTGGGGGGGGTGGGTAACACCAGGCTCTTTCAATACTTTCCCCAGCGCACCCTCCACAGGAGTGCTGTAGCTGGAATGCTATCAGCCTAACTCCAGATCAGACCTAATAGAGAGGTGGGGATAAATCATAGCATTAGAAGGAATTAGATTATTTGGGGCTGGACATCATAGGTTGAGAGCACAACATGGCCCCCACATCGGGGCTCCAGGCTTCTGCACGGTTGGCTACAAAGTCAGAGCGTCCCACTAGTATGGGGCTAGAAGAATCCCAGAACTCTGGAAAGTACCATACTTATGGTTACAGTTTTATTATAAAAGATATGTTGCGGAGGAAAAAGTTTCCTCTACCCTTCAAAGGGTTTTCTGGTGTCTAAGAATTAAGCTGACATGAGACAGATTAACAGGAGAGAGACAAATTTAATTCTGTACACACACATACACGAGAGATTCCAAGGCAGAAAGTAAGATGAAGTATCCACGCCACCCTGAGCTAAGGAGTGGGGGGGGGGGGGGCTGGCGCCTCAAAGGGGAGCAGGGGAATAAGAACAGATGTTTGATAAGTAGATGTTCACCCTGCCATACAGATGAGTCACTCAGGTAACATTTACATCTGGTAATAACGCTTACTCAGGAAAGATCCCCAATTCAGATTCTTCTAGGTAGTTAAAAGAGGGGCAAGTTTCTCTTGAGCCTGAAGGGTCTCCATTGTGCTCACATGTCAAAGTGGCACATTTTGGAGAGACTTGCACTGATCACCTTCACCACTATTTAGATGAAGGGGTTAGTGACTGAAGGAAGGAAGCCAAAGTAGGACAAAGACCTCTTCAGGACTTAGGAATGAAAACATCACTGAGCATTAGAGCACAAAAGACCTTTATAGATGGTCTAGTCAGTGTCTCTCCATCCATCCTAATACGTAGAATCTTCTGAGGAGTTTTAAAACATAGTGCACCACAATTTCAACTGACCTTCAGACATGGAGCTGAGCACGGTATTATTTTAAGTTTATTTATTATTTTGAGACACACACACACACACACGTGTGCACACAGTGTGCATGTGTAGGAGAGGCAGAGAGAGGGAGAGACAGAATCACAAGCAGGCTCTGCACGGTCAGCACAGAGCCTGATGCGGGGCTCGAATCATGAACTGTGAGATCACGATCTAAATTGAAATTGGACGCTTAACCGACTGAGCCACCCAGATGCCCCACGCTGTATTTTTTTTTTTTTTTACAGCTCCCAAGTGGCTCTGATGTACAACCAAGATTGAGAACCAATGAATGTACAAAGTTGTGGGTTTTTTAAGATTTTAAGTGCTCTCTACACCTAACGTGGGGCTCAAACTCACAACCTCGAGATCAAGAGTCACACACTCCACCAACTGAGCCAGCCAGTCACCTTGTACTAAGTTCATTTCTCAAAATATTTTTAAAAATATTTTTAATGTTTATTTATTTTTGAGAGACAGAGTAAGTGCAGGAGGGGGCAGAGAGAGAGACAGAGAGAGCAGGCTCCAAGTTCTGAGCTGTCAGCACAGAGCAAGACAAGGGGCTTGTATTCACAAACAGCAAGATCATGACCTGAGCTAAAGTTGGACGCTTAACCCACTGAGTCACCCAAGCGCCCCTGTGTACTAAGTTCATTTTTAAGATGAAATTTCATTGTACTGCCCCATGTGGAAACCCAGTATCACTTGCCAGAGATAGTTCTAACAGTGAATACAATAAAAACAGATATAACCTGATAAAAGGGATTGGTAAGTGTTAAACTGTTACTGATACACTTACTTCTTCACTGAGAAAGCCTGAAAAAGAACTGTAAAAAAAAAAATCTTCCTGACCACAGGATTCGGTGTTGCCATGCTTTATGCCTCCAGAGGTCATGAGGGGCACGGACCTAGTTAAATCCTGATTTCAGGGACAGGGTGAGGGAAACATGACTTGGTCCAATTTTGCTAGACAATTAAAAAAAAAAAATGGACTGCCTGGGCAGCTCAGTCAGTTGAGCGTGGGACTTAGGCTGAGGTTATGATCTCGCGGTATGTGGGTTCTAGACCCGCATAGGGCTCTGTGCTGACAACTCAGAGCTTGGACCCTGCTTCAGATTCTGTGTCTCCCTCTCTCTCTGCCCCTCTTCTGCTCACACACTGTGTGTCTCTCTTTCTCAAGAATAAATAAACATTAAAAAGAATACACAACTAAGAAGCAATGAAGGCATATCTGATACTAAGAAAAAAAATACTCAATACAAAGGGAGGGTAAGGTGGGGTGAGGAGGGGGCACCAGATCTTCCGACTGCAATTGAACGTGACCTCAAGTCAACTGAGCACCCCCTGGTTATTTTACAGATGGTGCAGTGATGGACAGGACAGCTTGCCTAAGCAAAATTGGGGCCAGTGCTTGGCCCAGAGCGAGAATTAGAATCCATCCCCATAATTTTCCACTTGAGGAAACTCAGAGCTCCTCAAGGATGAGAACTGATCATGGTCCGCAGCAGTGGAGGTGACAAGGGCAGATTTCTGGAATTCCAGGGTCCTGCCACCAAACCCTGTAGCATCCATCAGGGAGCACAGTCATTGGCTGTGTGCTGAGAAGCAAGATTAACGCTACAAAACCCACTACGTCCTTTTCTCAGATCAACACACCGAGACTCCAGAGTAAGGGAGGGACTTACCCAAATCCCCAAATAAAAGATGACGACGATGACAATCAGACACTAACACCTGAGAGGTCACGGTGTGCGGGGCACTGCCCTAAGATTCCATTAGACAGTCAAATTCTATCATCACCCTCAATTTTAGGGAAACTGAGGCAGAGTGTGTACACCTCGTCCGGGGTGTCAGAGCTAGTAAGGGGCAGAGGAGCTCCAAAGAACATTTCATAAAAGGGGAAACTGAGGCCTACAGAGGAGGAAAGGGTCCCGACCCCAACTCCCCGTCGCGGGGGTGAGAAGGGTGAGTACAAGGTGGGCGACTCAGAATCCACACCTTCAAATTTGCCCTCTCCCCCTCGCTGGGGAGTTATGACGTCACAGGCGGGTGAGTGGGAGTTGTCACCAGGAGCTTGGGCATCCCGTTCGGAAACCTGAGGGGATCGCACTCACCTCCGGAGGCACTTCTTCCGAGCCCGCACTTCTGGACTCGGGACCGAGTCCCGGAGCGCCCCCCATGCGCAGCCTCGGCGTCCCTCCGCCAGCACGACCCGCGACACTACCCCGGCAACCGAGGCTCGCGGACCCCCTGGACGCCACCGGCCGCGAATGTGCGCGGCCAGCTCAACGCGCATGTGCGCCCCTGACCTGTCGCTCAAAGGCGGAGGTGTGGCGTCTCTGCCAATAGGAATCCTCCTTCCTGCCTGGCCCCGCCTCATTCGTCAAGCTTCCGGCGTCTGAGTCTCCAGGGCAACCGTCAGACTGACGGCCTAGGAAAGCGAGGCCCAGAAACTTCTGGGTGTCGCGGACTCAAAGGAGCAGAGAAACGGGAGGCGCCTGGGAGTGAGAAAAGTCTCCGACGCAGGCGTCCCTGGCTCCGCTTGCCAGGTCCTGACAGAGTGGCCGACCCGTTCGCGGGCCTTGGGGTTGGGTTGCGAGGGGCTCGGCCTTCACGGTGGGCGTAGCTGAGCGGGCCGCGGTCGCCATGGTAATACCTCCGGCTCACCGCCCACCCCTGGCGCAAGTTGTGACGTCACGCGCCAAGCCCTGCGGGAAGGCGTGAGGTTGGGCCGTGGGCGGGGCCGGGGTGGGCGGGGCCGGGGTGGGCGGGGCCGGGGTGGGCGGGGCCGGGGTGGGCGGGGCCGGGGTGGGCGGGGCCGGGGTGGGCGGGGCCGGGGCGAGGTGGAAGGGATTCCTCCGGCTGGTCAGCTTACAGTGCCCCCTTTCGGAAAGTTCTCCGTCTTTGCTGCAGGTCCTTCACTCGTTTTTATTTGCTCATTTGTTTAGTTTGCTCCGCATTGGTTGGAAACAGACTTTACGTGTCACGCCTGCCTTCTGCCAAAGGAGCATCCCACCTCCCCCTACCTGCTCTGGCCCTTGAGGACAGGTTCGTGCTGTCCATTGATTCATCTAACAGGGGCTGGCCACAGACTGCATGTTTTGAGCGAGTGTAGGAAGAAGTGGACCCATGTTTCTCAGCCTGGGCATAATTGACATTTGGGTCTGATTATTCCTTGGGTGAGGGCTGTTTTGTGCATTGTAGGGTGTTGAGCAATATCCCTCTGCCCACTAGGGGCCAAGAGCAACACCCTTAGCCTTCCCACCGGTCTTGACAATCAAAAATGTCTCTGGACGCAGCCAAATGTCCCCTGGGAGGCAAACTCAGCCCCATTGAAGAACTACTGCTTTTTAAGGGGCTTTCCTAGGGGCGCCTGGGTGGCTCCGTTGGTTGAGCGTCTGACTTCACCTCAGGTCATGATCTCACAGTTTGTGAGCGTGAGACCCACATCCAGCTCTCTGCTGTGAGCACAGACCCCCGATTTGGATTCCTTCTCTGCCTCTCTCCGCCTCATGCTCTCCCCCTCATTTATATGCAAATTGCCGTAAGAAATGATGACAGCTTCCTTGAGCTCAGACACAATTGTGCCTACACAGCAACACCCCCAACCCATTTAATTCAGGACTTTAGTTGACTTGGGAAACTAATTTTACCTTCTCAAGTAGTCATTGGAGCCCAAGCATGTGAAACTACTCTCGGTGTGTGCAATCACCCTCTAAAGAGTATAGTAAAGCCTTTGTTTCCTTACTGACTGCCTGACCTGAAAGATAGCGTCCTATTTGCCAAGAACAAAAGTAACCACATTTTTAGATAGAGAAACTCTATCGAAATAGATAGAAGAACTCCATAAAAACCTGCTTCTTGCTCCTTTTCCTGCTTCTATTCTTTCTAGGGCCTGCACCCCCAACTTTACACACACCTCATGATGCAAATAATGTATGTCCCCCTTGTAGGGGGCGAAGAGCTAATGATTTCTTTTTCTTTTTTTTTAATCTTTTATTTATTTCTAGGAGAGAGAGAGAGACAGCGTGAGCAGGGGAGGGTCAGAGAGAGAGGGAGTCACAGACTGAAACAGGCTCCGGGCTCTGAGCTGGCAGTCAGCACAGAGCCCGACGTGGGGCTCGAACCCACGAACCACGAGATCATGACCTAAGCGAAAGTCGGACGCTTAACCGACTAAGCCACCCAGCCGCCCCATAATGATTTCTTTAGAATAGGCAATATCTAATGGAGGACCAGGGGAAAATGATCGAATGAAGCCATCATATGTGCATTCTAGACCTCCACCACCAGAGCTCGACCCCTCTACGTCAAGACCTGGCTCCAAGGAGTAACACCTGGGCCCTTGTCTTTGCTCTAACCAGTTTCTGGATGCCTGAGAGGACTCACAGTCCAGACCACAATCCTCAGTAAAAGCCCCTGGACCTCCGGCAAAACCGAGGCTCTCTCCTTTCCTGAGTCTCCTGGACGCTGTCTATACCTGCACTCTCTCTGTACCTTCAATAAACTCTGCTCTCACAGCCTGCCAGCTCACATTTTATTTCTCTCCTGTGCACAGCCAAGCACCCTCTTGGCTGGTGCTGCGGGACACCGTCTGGCTCCTCGGCCTGGCCTGGGGGCAAGTGTTTCATCCTACTGGACAAAGCCCAACTGACCACAAGATCTTGACCTGAGCCAGTCGAGTCCAATATGCTTAATGGACTAAGCCACCCAGGCACCCCAAGCAGATGCCATTTTTTTAAATGTTTGTTTATTTCTGATAGAGAGAAAGAGCAGGGGAGGGGCAGAGAGAGAGGGAGACACAGAATCTGAAGCAGCTCCAGGCTCTGAGCTGTCGGCACACAGCCCAATGCAGGGCTCGAACCCACGAACCGTGAGATCATGACCTGAGAAGAAGTCGGTCAAGAGCCACCTAGGTGCCCCCCCACTCCCCACCCCCCAGTTAACACTTCTTATAGAACCACTACGAGGTCCTCCCCATCTCCACTGCGGTCACCAAGTATCATGCCTGGGCCACTCCGGACCTCATTCTCTCCGTCTCTCGGCTTCCACTCTTGCCCTGATGCCACATCACTGTCCACATACTCACCCAGGGTGACCCTTTCCTACCTCACATCAGATCTTGCGGATGGCTCTCCAGCAAACATAGAATAAAACTTCCTTCTAGCCAAGGTGTAGAGGGCCCCATTGTGACCCGGGCTCCCTCTGGCTCTCCCAACTGGTGCAGGCTTTCCTCCGGTCCCTCGAACGCACACAGTGCAATTCGGCCACGGCTGTCCCTGCGGTCCCCAAGGCAGGCTGCTTCTACTCCCTCGTCTGGCCTTCTCGGCAAAGCGGCCACTGGCCTGCATGCGCAGACAGGTCTCCTGACCTGCTTCCTTTCCTGGAACTCACCGCTTGTTTGTTCCCGTCCTGCCCCTGTCCTGTGAGCTCTGTGGGTCCGGGGACCTTGTGGGGTCCCAGCACTCAGCAAGGGACCTGCTGCATGTATAAATATTTGAATGCATGGATGAAATGAATGGTTACTGGTCATTTCTTGCAGGTATTATTCCCAAGCGCCTCTGAGCCCCCCCCCCCCCAACTCTTACACCCACACCTCTGCTTACTGCACAGTAAATGACTTGGTTTTAAGAACCTACCACAGGGCGCCTGGGTGGCTTAGTCGGTTAAGCGTCCGACTTTCGCTCAGGTCATGATCTCGCGGTTCGTGGGTTCGGGCCCCGCGTCCGGCTCTGTGCTGACTGCCAGCTCGGAGCCTGGAGCCTGTTTCAGTCTGTGACTCCCTCTGTCTCTGACCCTCCCCTGCTCACGCTGTCTCTCTCTCTCTCTCCTAGAAATAAATAAAACATTTAAAAAAAAAAAAAAGAACCTACCTTATTTACTGGGAGAGAGAGAGAGAGAAAGAGGTAGAGTCAGAGACGGAGAGAAGGAATGAATGGTAGTATTTCAGAGGAATCTCTGGGGCTGTGTTAGTACAGAAGGGAGTGTTTCCCAGCCAAGCCTGGTGGTGGAGGGGTGAGGGTGGGGACTGGAGAGAGACACGGAGGGAGGAGTGATTCAATGTACAAAGGAGGGTCTTCCTTCCTACCCCTTCCCCTGCTTGCACCTCCTTCACTCCCTCCCTTCTCTGTGCCTTCCTTCTCTCTCTCTGCCTGCCCTCCTCCCTCCCTCCTCTGCCCCCTCCTCCCGGACTCTCCCTCCTTCCTGGCCCCTCCTCCCTCCTTCCCGCCCCCTTCCTCCTCCCTTCTCCCTGCCCCCCTCCCCCTGCCCCCTTCCTCCTCCCCCTGCCCCCTTCCTCCTCCCTGTCCTTCCTTCCTTCCCCCTCCCACTTCCCTGCCCTCCCCCACCCACCCCTGGGCCCCATCCCCCACAAAGGTAAGAGGCTCCTTCCCAGTCTCCTTTGTTGTGGGACACGAACAGGAAGGTGACCATCATATAACTGCATTTCAACATGTTCCATCTGGTCCGTTTCGTGGGCAGTTTCCCGGTGGAACCTCCCCGCCCACCCTTCCCTGCCCTGGTCATCCTAAGCATTTTGTTCAGGGGTTACATTCAGAACGCCTCACATTTTTATGAGCAAAGTAACATCTATGTAAAATGAGCTTTCTTTCTGACTTTCAGTTCCTTTCTCTTGCCTGGATGGGACTTGCACCCGATGGAACATCCATCCAGTAGGTTGGGCAATAGAGGGGGTTCCCCGAGAACCATTCACACCAGCGCTGGGGGTTGGGAGGCGTTCACCACGTCAGCAGTGAACAGGCTGTTCCCTGCAAGTCTTGGGGAGCTTCTGTTTGTCATACGGGGGTGTTCCCTCCATTCCTGGTGTGCTGGGGCTTTATTCTGTAATCAGGAAGGACTGTTGGATCTTATCATATTTTTTTTCTGTATCTGTTGAGATGATATGATTTTTCCCCTCTTTATGTTAATACCGTGGGGATCCAGGGGCACCTGGGGGCTCAGTCAATTAAGCCTCTGACTTTGGCTCAGGTCATGATCTCACGGTTTGTGGGTTCAGCCCCCGCTGAGCTGTCAGCACAGAGCCTGGAGCCTGTTTCGGACTGTGTCTCCTTCTCTCTCTGCCCCTTCTCCCATTTGTGCTCTCTCTCTCATAAATAAATAGAACTAAAAAATTTTTAAAAAACTGAGTTGCTAGATGCCTGTTTTTAATTTGATGGTAGGTTTTATATAAAATCAGTGTGATTTCCTCTATTAGTATTTGGAAGATTTCACCATTAAAGCCATCTGACCCTGGGAGTTTGTTTTTGTGGGAAATTTGTTTGAATACAGATTAAATTTGTTTGTTTTTGTGGGAAGTTTGTTTGATTATAGATTAAATTTCTTTGATAAAAGATTATTCAGATATTCCACCTTCTGTTTCACTTTTGGTCAGTTGAGTTTTCTTAGGATTTGGTCCATTTTGTTTATATTTTTTTATGCTATTTTATTGGCATAAGGTTTTTCAAATTATCATCTTTATTACTCTTTTCATAACTGCAGGAACTCTTCCCTCCTAATTTTGGTAATTTGTTTCTCCTCTCTTTGTTTCTTATCAGCAATGCCAGAGAACTACATTACTACATTTTTATTAGTCTTTTCAGGACTAACTGTTAGCGTTGTTGATTTCTATTGTACACTTTTTCCTTTGGGTTTTGATCACCTCCTTCCTTCAATTTGGGTTTAATCTGTGTCTCTTTTTTCAAAATCCTTTAAATAAGTACTCAAATCATTGGTTTTCTGGATTTTCACTTTCCTTCCCTTCTTTCTCTTAGTGTATGCATTTAAAATTATACATTTCTCTCTAAGCAAAGCTTCCTTAATGTTATTCAATTCAAAATTCCGATCGTTTTTGTGATTCCTTCTTCGGCCCATGGATTATTTAGAAGTATATCTATTCATTTGTAAGTTTGGATTTCCTAACACGTTGATTGCTGATTTACAGCCTAATTCCACTGTACTCAGAGAACTTACTTGAAATGACTTCAATCTGAAGTTGATGGAGGCTCACTTTATAAACCAACATGCAGCCAATTTTGGTAAGAAAAAAAATCCCATGTTCACTTGAAAAGTCTGTGCTTCCCATCAATGTTGGTTGTAGGGTTTTCTATGTCAATTATGTCATGTTTGTTCATGGCTCTTTAGACCTTCTATATTCTCACTAAGTTTTATCTACTCCTATCATCTGCTAAGAGAGGTTTTAGAGTCTCCCTCTGTGATCCTGGGTGCATCTATTCTTCTAATTTTGCCAGTTTTCATTTTTTGTAAAAACAAACAAACAAACAAAAACATTCTAAACAGATTTAGAACTGTCATATTTTCCTGATGGGTTAATCCCTTTATCAATGTCAATGTCGCTCTTCATCTCTAGGAGTATTTCTTTTTTTCTTTTTCTTTTTTTTTTTTTTTTTGAGAGAGAGGGGGCAGAGAGAAAATCCCAAAATCCCAAGCAGACTCTGCACTGTCAGCACACAGCCCAATGTGAGGCTCAAACCCATGAACTGTGAGATCATGATCTGAGTTGGATGCTTAACTGAGCGAGCCCCCCAAGCACCCCTGGGAACACATCTTGACTCAGAACCTGAGGTGTCTGGTGTCAGAATAATTAGACTAGCTTCCTTTAAGTTAGCAGCTCAAGGATATAATTTTATGATTTAAGTCTCATTATTTTTCTTTCAAATTAGATCTGTTTCTCTCTCTCTTATAGATCTCTAATGGAGGGAGGAGGACCTTAAAAATGTTCCCTTTGTGGCAGTGTTCCTAGAAGTGGTTTTCTTTATACTTATTCCCTTTGGGGTTCTCAGAACTTTTAAAATCTGTTGCTTGATGGTTATTTTTATCAGGATGCAAAATTCTTAGTCATTAACTCTTGAAATATTACCAGCTTCGTTTCTCTTGCTTCTCCTTCTTAAATTTTCATTTCACCTATGTCACAAATTTTCACTTGGTCTCTTAAGTCTCTTATGCTTTTTTCTGTTTTCTTTTTTTTTTTTTAAACTAATTAGTTTTGAGAGAGAAAGAGCAGAGCAGAGGCAGAGAGAGAGGGAGAGCAAGAATCCCGAGCAGAAAAACTCCACAGTGTCAGCCCAGAGCCTGCCGCGGGGCGTGGGGCTCAAACTCAGGAACCACAAGACCATGACCTGAGCAAAAATCAAGAGTCAGAGGCTTAACGGACTGAGCCACCCAAGAGCCCCTTTTCTATACTTTTCTATTCTTTTATCCATTGTGCTTCACTTAGAATAATTTCTCTTGATCCGTTTTCTAGCTCACTAGTCATGCTTTCTGTTCAGCCCAACCCCTGAACTCTTCATTTGAGTTACATATTTTCAATTCTAGAATGGCCATTTGACTATTCTTTTTAAACAAATTGTAACTCTCTTGTGAAATCACTCATCTATTTTTGTGGACTTAATAATTACAAGCTTTTTTAAAGTGCTTATGGCCTATCTCTGGGCCACCTGGAGGCTCGCCCTTCTTGCCTGGTTTCCTCTTGGTTTTTGGCCATGCAGCCCTGACACTCGGGACTTACGTGTCATTTCCAGGGGAACAGGAATGTTTCCCACGCCTTCCTCAGTGTGTTGGGCCTCCTTGGTACCAACGGGCAGCACAAAGGGGCAAGGTGGACTGAACACTGGAGCGCCTGGGTGGCTCAGCTGGTTGTGCGGCCGACTTCGGCTCAGGTCATGATCTCGCGGTTTGTGGGTTCGAGCCCTGCATTGGGCTCTGTGCTGACAGCTCAGAGCCTGGAGCCTGCTTCGGATTCTGTGTCCCCCTCTCTCTGACCCTCCCCTGCTCACACTGTCTCTCTTTCTCTCAGAAATAAATAAAACGTTTAAAATTAAAAAAAAAAAAAAAAAAGGTGGACTGAAGGCTTTGGATGCCCTTCAGAAGGACACCTTCGCAGGTACGGAAGCTGTGTCCACGCTTACCTGGGGTCTTCTTCATGGGGCGCAGATCCATGACGTACCTTCTTCCTTGCAATCATTTGTTTTCTAAAGACGAACATGGAGGAGAACAAGGAGAGGAAATCATTAAGGAAGCATGAAACGGATGGATATAGTGCTTGGAGTGCCTGGGGAGGGGGATGTAGTGACCTCCTTGGTCTCCTTGCTGTCCCTCGGTCCCCAGGCACTCTCCTCCTTTGTGGCCTGTGCGCATAATTTTTGAGAGCGAGAGAGACAGAGCATGAAAGGGGGAGGGGCAGAGAGAGAGGGAGACATAGAAGTCAGGATGTCAATATGGAAAAGAGCCAGCGAGAGAGTAGGATAACATTAATACCTTCCCAAGCACGCTCCATTATTCCTTCATTAAATAAACTTAAAGTTGTTTTTAACTTTTTACTGTGTACTCTTCACAGACTCACAAACTATTGCGAACATATACAGAGGGCTCCTGTGTAACCGCCATCCAGCTTCTCCCCATGGCGGCAACTTATATGACTGCAATCCTTTATCAAAACCAGTGAGTTCACACTGGCACAGTATCAGTAACTGGAATGTAGAACATACTCAGATTTCGCCAGGGTTTTTTTGTGCACTCTTTTTTGTTTTAATTGTATTTTATGAAACACATCTATCTCACAGTCATAGGGAAGCTATCTTAAAATAATAAGGATATCATTACCTTGCTTTATAAGTGAAAGAAGGGAGGGGGCGCCTGGGTGGCTCAGTTGGTTAAGCGTCCGACTTCGGCTCAGGTCATGATCTCACGGTTTGTGGGCTTGACCCCCGCGTCGGGCTCTGTGCTGACAGCTCAGAGCCTGGAGCCTGTTTCAGATTCTGTGTCTCCCTCTCTCTCTGACCCTCCCCTGCTCACGTTGTCTCTCTCTCTTTCAGAAATAAAATAAAACATTAAAAAAAAAATAAGTGAAAGAAGGGAGATTCATACAGTTGTTACGGGTGCCAGTCTGAAAGCCACACAGTGACCCAAAACATGCGGATTCCAGTGAATCACAGCCTCTGCATCTCACGGGGAGGGTAGAAGTGGGACATGAGACTGATACTGGAAATGGAAAGGAAGGCACTACTTTATTTGTCCATTTCATCCCCGTAAATCATGATGGGCCCCAACTAAACAATCTGCTTGTTGAGTTGAAGTTGGTGGGTCCATGTGTGTATTAAGAATCAACACCTGGGAAGCTTGTTACAAACAAGGAGACTTAAGCTCAGCCTCAGATGTCCTGATTCCTTAGGAAGATCTGAGGTGGACTTCTAATTTTAAACAAAGGCTCAGAGGTCAACAAACATCTTCTATAAAGGGCCAGGTAGTAGCTATTTTAGGCTTTGCAGGTCACACAATCTTAGTATGACTACTCAACTACTCTGCCAACAAGAAACCAACCATTGAGGATACAAAAATGAATGTGTGTGGCTAGGTGTCAATAAAACTTTATTTAAAAAGAAAACAGGCAGCAGTCCAGGTTTAGTTTGCCACTCTAGCTCAGTGTTTCCCACCCTATCTGAATTGCATCACCTGAGAAACCTTTTGAAAGAACAGATTTCGAGACCACTCCCCTTGGTATTCTCATGCCAAAAATGCAGGTGGAACACAGAAATTTGTGTTTTGTTTTTTCAAGTTTCTGATGCTCAGCTTGTTTGGGGAACCACATCTTCTAACCTAGGCTCCATCTGGCTCACAGTGCCATTATGAAAACTCACTAACATGACAGAGATAGATGCTCCAATATTATGTCTCTTCGACTCCCTCCAATGCGCAAAAATGCCATGCATTAGCAGTTCTAGGGAACACTCTCTTCCTTTAAGGAACATTTGTGTAGCCCAACTGTGTCCCAGACCTTTTTACAGGCCAAGTCTTCTTTCCCTTGAGCAGTAGAGATGTTCCTTTCCCACCCATCCTTCCCCCAAGGGGCTGTTAAACATCTGGCAGGACATGGCACTTAGATCCTTCAGCGGAATCTGTTTGTACTGACAATGCTCCTGACCCCAGGCCAATGGCTAAATGCCAGGGTCTGGACCCACCGTTTCCCAGAATTCTTTGGGAATTTCAAGACCCAGAGAAAGTCCCAGGAATGTGATCTCAAGGATACAAAGTCAAGACAGTCACAGTACTCACTTTCTTCTTCTGTCCTCTCTGGAGGGCAGAGTGCAGGCAGCCAGGTTCCAATGGAGGTGCAGGGTAGAAAGAGACACAGGCGTTAAGCCTGGGATCCTAGACACCAGCAAAGAAGTATCCCTGACCCGCCAGAAGACAGCACAGGACTCCTGGAAGTGAGGCAGATGAAGACCCTGACTCTACTGTGCGGCTTATCTCTCTCTCCCACAAAGCTTTTTTTTTTTTTTTTTTTTTTTTGAGAGACAGAGAATGAGCAGGGGAAGGGCAGAGAGAGGAGACACAGAATCTGAAGCAGGCTCCAGGCTCTGAGCTGTCGGCACAGAGCCCAACATGGGGCTCGAACCCACAAACCATGAGATCATGACCTGAGCCGAAGTTGGATGCTCAATTGACTAAGCCACCCAGGTGCCCCAAAATTTCTATCGCCTTAAAACTCAGAGAAACAGAATGGGACTGGATGCTCTCTGAATGGTTCTTCCCAAATGAATAGGACATAAAAAAATAAATTAATAATCATATACTTATTTCAAGTAAATAAATAATGTCAGTGACTCCATTAAGTCCGCATGACCTTGTAGACAAGAAAAGAGAAACACCGTAAGGATATATGCTTCCTGCTTACCATCCATTGACAATCTGCTCATCATACCTGGGGAAGAAGATATACCACGTGGTATGCAAATACAAGACAAAGAAATATTCTTAATGAATGGAGTTCTCCAGCTCAATAACCTCTCTTCTTTGGGAAGTGTGGCTATGGTGCCTCAGGCATGCTTTACGGGTTCCCTCTGCATCCCCCACTGTCCCTTGTCCCCGTCTTCACTAGCCTGAATGTCTACTATAATCTCTGTTTATTTGTCTCTGTTCTCTACTAGCACCTGAGTTTCCCAAGGATGAGCACATCTGATCCATCTCTGGGCTCCCGTCGCCCAAGCATGGGTCGAGGCTCCTAGTTGATGCTCAGAAATTCGTGCTCAAAGTTCCCCCACCAAAGTTCAGAGTCCAAAGCCATCCCGAATGTGGCATGGCATTTACCTAGGATTCTTGGCAGCAGCCCGTGCAGAAGAGGAGTTGGCATGGTGACATGCCAGACATGGTCCACAGACATGGTCAAAATGGTGGGGTCGCGGAGATGGCGCCGCAGGTGGGAGACCAAACAAGATGAGATACTGAGGGTCAGGAACAGGCTGGGAAGTAGGGTCAACTCTGGGTCGTGGTGGGGAGTTAGAGGCTGAGGCCCAGACCTCTGTGAGATGCTGGAGTCTCATCATTTGACTGTGGAGGGAGCTTCAGTGAGCTGGGGAAGGGGCAGGGACCAATCCTCAGCCATGGTAGGAAGAGAGGGGGGAACAACCTGTTACTGACTCTAGAAAGAAGTGCCCAGTCTGCACTTCCAGTGACTTCACAGCAGCCCCCTCAGATCAGACCATCGGCCCCGTATTGCCAGTGAAGATGGCTCAGGAGAAATCACATAATTTTTGACACCTCGTGTTGCTGATGAGTGACTGCAAGAATTCAGCGCCCGCCTCCCCAACCTCCTGTGTAAACCTCCTACATCCTCATCCGCAAAATGGGAACGTTAATACCCATCGTGGGGTTGGGGTGAGGCTTCCTGCATACTGAGGAATTCTACTGATTGTTGGTGGAGACTTCTGTATTCGAGTAGCGCACAAAACCATCCTCTGTATCACTTAAAGTAATCGGGTAGTGGCTTGTCATCAGTATTACTGGCATGGGAGTTGAATGTGACATCTGGCTATCCCGGGTGATCGTGGGCTGGCCACTGAACTCACCATCCCCCTGCAAAATGCAGCTATCACGTCCCATTTGGAGCTGTAGCAATAATGAAGGAAGAGGGGTGGTGGTACTTAGCCTAATTCCTGGCCCAAGGCAAACATTCAGTAAATGTTAGAAATAGTAATATGATGTAAGTAATAATAATAATTGCATTCGTACTTAGAGATGAGTGTGTGTATGTGTGTGTGTGTGTGTGTGTGTGTGTATGTGTGTGTGTGTGTGTGTGTGGTGAAGGGGTAGATGGAAGCAAAGAGAACTGTTGAGTGGGTTTTATTAGGTTGCGTTAAAAAGTGTTTCACATCTATGACTGCATTTAACCACATGAAGTAGGCACAGAGAGGTGAAGTGATTTCTCCAAGGCTGTCCAGCGAGGAGGCAACAAATGTAGGCTCTGAACACAGTGGTGGCTGGTGCTGAGCCTGAGCCCTTCCCACCGGTTCTCACCTCACTTCCTGACTCAGCCTCCTGCCTCCTCAGCTTGCAGGCTCCGCCGCCGTGAAGCTGGGGTCTCATCTCCCCGAAATGTCTCCAGATTGCTGTCTGTTATCGAATGAATGTGTGTGTTTCCCCCCAGTTCACCTTACCCCCTGATGTGATGGCATCCAGAGGTGGGGCCTTTGGGAGGTAACTAGGTTTAGATGAGGTTGGGAGGGCAGGAGTCCCACGATGGGATTAGTGGCCTAAGGCTCCCCTCTCTACCTCACTCAGAAAGCAGAGATGGAAACCAATCTGTGTGTCCAAATATTAGATTTCAGGTAGACTCGAATTTAGCTCCATGGCCTGATGGCTTTCCTTCAGCCACATGTAAGCCATGAAAATTGGCTCAATTTCTGGCCAACTATGATATTTTGTGTGTGTGTCTGTTTTTTTGTTTTGGTTGGGGGAGGGGAGGAAGAGATGTGGTATTTTGTTTTCAAGATATTCTTGTACTGGAGTTTTATGTTTCTAGATTGGGAGCCAGGCTGTGACAGCCAGGGGAAGAAAGACCCTTTGCAGGTCAGCAGAAACGACCCCTGTGTGACACAGGAAGTCAAACCACACGGAGAGACTGGAACAAGAGTCTTACCTTTCAGCACTGCTGATGTCAAGCAGCGGAAGGAGAGGTCCGATGGTGGCCGGCAGGGATCATTTTCCCAGTAAAGGTTCAGAGAGAACATGAAATCAGTCAAGTTGTCCTGAGCACCTCACGGGATCCCACAGGTCCTGAGATGGGATAGGGAACCAGAACGAGAAGCTGTGACCTATTCTAAGAGCCCTGGAACCCTCTGAAGACACATTTACCCCAAAGTCAAAACCCCCCAGGGGTCCCCATTGCCTGGGGCATCCAAATTCTCCCCCTTCACCTGAGTTTCGGGAGGCTGGCAGAAGGAAGGTCTGTCTCCATAACAACCAGTTATCATCCCCGCTTTTCTTTTTCTTTTTTTTTTTTTTTTAATTATTTATTTCTAGGAGAGAGAGAGACAGCATGAGCAGGGAGGGTCAGAGAGAGAGGGAGATACAGACTCTGAAATAGGCTCCAGGCTCTGAGCTGGCAGTCAGCACAGAGCCTGACATGGGGCTCGAACCCACGAACCGTGAGATCATGACCTACGCGAAAGTCAGACGCTTAACCGACTAAGCCACCCAGGCGCCCCTTTTCAACTGGAGCCCAGGAGTGTTAATGCTTGGGAAAGAAGGAGGCTTAGCTACCCTGCACCATACTTTTCTTGTCTAAAACCCACCAAATAAATACATGCAATCCAATCCAATCCAGTTGTACTTTTTAGAGCAGGTTACTGATCCTACTGAAAATCTGATCAAAGCTATGAAGTCCACATTCCCAGAAACACCAGTTCCCTGCCTCTTCTCTCTCTCTTTCTCTCTCTCAGTTTTACGCAAGATCACAAAGGCTTGTTGACCTCTCTGAAGTCCATCTACTTGCCCCCTGGGATCTGCAGATTCTGGGGTTGGTGCCTGAGTTAGGACCGAGAGGATCTCCCAGAATCTGCCCTGGCTGAACATGGTGCTCAGAACTTTGTCTCTTCCTTTAGTCCCCTTCTCTGGGTTGAAGGGCTCCCTAGTTAGGTAGGGAGAAGGAGACAGTACTTACTTACGTTTGACTGGAAGGGCAACCAGGAGTCAGTGAAGTGACATGGAAAATAAAAGCAAGGGAGAGAATAGGATTAATGCTAACATCACCCATCTCAGTTAATTTATTTATTCCTTCATGGAGCATTTACCTGCCTTTACTACTTAGAGTTATGCCCCGCCCCCAAGACAAAGCCTGTGTGTCAGACCCAAGTCCTACCTTTCCCCAGCATTCTCTGAGGGGTCTTGACATCGGAAGGAATCTGAAAGGAGCTGGCCAGCTACGGGAATACAAACTTGGGGGTTCACACAGTTCTTACTTTTTTCTTCAATGGTGACTGGAAGCAAAAGTGTCAGCCATCTGGACCCCAAAAGGAGCAGGAAGCAGGGAGACAACTGAGCATTATGTCACTGTGATGATCAAAGACACAAGGAACCCATCCGCTACTTGGGTCTACCCACCTTCCATCCATCATTCACCCAACCAACACTGATTTGGCACAGACTCTGGCCACTGCCGTATGTTTGGAGTTGGTGATGTAGATGACTCAGACGCAGCCCCTGGTCTGTAGGCATTTGCAATACTGGCTGGGTACAGAGTTAATAAGACACCTCAAGCCCTGTTCTTATAGAAACTGCGACCTATGAATGTCTTGAACTTCTTGTAGACTCTCCCAACATAGTGTGTCCCAAAGAGAATTTGTGGTCATTACTCTCCCACCCACCAAAAAGTAATGTTATTTTTTTGTTAATAAAATAAATATCCATGTGTTCGCACTGATATAAGTAACTCCTTGAATAAATAGAGCACATGGTCAGCTCTTCCTTACAGAAGAATTCCAATTAATACATGTAGAAGGAATAAGAGAAATAGAAAATCACCATCAAGCAACTACAACAGCGATCAGTTTTGCAGGCAACAGCCACAGGCAGATGTTATAATTGGTGGGTAAATGTTTGAGGAGAAACAGGATATTCTACATAGTCTCCAACTATCTCCCCCACGACATTCATTACTTACAGAGGGGAAAACAGTTATGAGACCATGGAGAACCCTGGCAGACACCACCTCAGCCAAGTGATCATGGTTAACATGTCGGGTAATGACACACAGAGAAGGGCACAGACCCCTCTTCTGAGACTTTCCTGCCCAAACTGCGTAACCTCAACGTGACCGGGAGACAACTTGGGACAAGCCCAGACTGAGAGACATTCTTCACAGTCTCTGAGCACAGCTCGTCTTGGAAAGGTCACGGAAGATTGGCCAAGTCAGCCGTGAGCTCTAAGGACTAAAGGCAAGAGTAAGGAGATGCATTGAATTTGTGCAATGTGGGCTCCTGGACGGGATCTTCCCGTGTGGGCAGAGTAGTGAAATATGAATAGAGTCCATAATTTAGGCAGTAGCTTTGCAGCGGTGTTGAGCTCCTGGCTTTGATCACCGTACGAGGCTGGGTACAATGGGAGGTTAGGGAGGGTTGGGTTAAGGGAGGTTAGGAGAAGGGTATTTGGGAACTCTAGTTTTGTGACTTTTCTGTATGTCTAAAATTACTTCAAAATACAGTTTTAAAAAATCAGTTGCTGTACAGAACTTTTCCTATCTTTTTTTTTGTTAATATTTTTTACATTATTTATTTCTAGGAGAGAGAGAGAGAGACAGCGTGAGCAGGGGAGGGTCAGAGAGAGAGGGAGTCACAGACTGAAACAGGCTCCAGGCTCTGAGCTGGCAGTCAGCACAGAGCCCGACGCGGGGCTCGAACCCACGAACTGCGAGATCATGACCTAAACGAAAGTCGGACGCTTAACTGACTAAGCCACCCAGGCGCCCCAAACTTTTCCTATCTTGGTTAAGGGCAGACTCGATTATCCAATGGCAAAACTGAATAAATGAATGAATGAATGAATGAATGAATGAAATTATGGAAGTCTTTCTTCTTTCTTTCCCTAGCCTCCAGCCTCGTCCATCTTCCAGTCCTATAAACTCTTGCTCCTAGATACCTCATACTCTTTGACCTCCACCCTGACGACCACAATGGTCTCCTAGCTGATGTCCTTGTTTCCACTCTGGTTCCTACCCAATCTGTTCTTCAGGACCAAGACTGATCATTTAAACACACACACACACACACACACACACACACACACACACACGCACACACCCCTAAATATGACACTCCTTTCTGAAAGCCTTTCAACACCTTCCTGTGGCACTTGATATCCACACTCCTGATCTGACCCACAAGACTGCATGTGTGCTGGTTCCTGCCTCTTCTCCACTCTGTTTTGTAACAATCCCCCTCCACGATGCCTCCTCCCTGTGCACCACTCTCCAGACACACTGGCTCCTCTCAGATCCACAAATGGACCCAGGACCTTTGCATGTGCCAACCCCCCACCCTGGACCACCTCCCTAACTCTGGCGTTAGCTCCCACCCGCCATCAGTATCTTGCCTCAAATGTCACTTATCCAGAGAGGACTTCTCTCAACGGCCACACTGGGATGTGCTTATTTGTGTAACACGAGAATTCCACAAAGACAGGACTATATCTGTCTTTTTAATCCACTGCATTCCCAGCATTGAGCACAAGGAACAAACCAGGAACTCGGTGAATGTTTTTGGACAAAATGAGACAATAGGAACTCAGCTTTGTAACAAGATTCTCAAGGCCTCTTTCTAATATATGGTGTCCTTATATTGTAAAGATCTGGGGTCTTGGGGCACCTGGGTGGCTCAGTCCATTAAGCGTCTGACTTTGGCTCAGGTCATAATCTCACGGTCTGCGGGTTCCAGCCCTGCATTGGGGATGTAAGCGCGGAGCCTTGGGATTCTCATTCTCTCCTCTCTCTCTGCCCCTCCCCTACTCAGGCTTTCTTTCTCTTTCAAAATAAATAAAAACTTAAACAACAACAACAACAAAAAGATCTGGGGTTTCAGGACAACTCCATAACCATAACAATGTCAACCCCAGGCACGATGCACATGTAACCTTATCCGTGATACACAGAAATCCCATGGACTGCAGATTCTCACCGTGATGCCCACTGGTTGGATGAGGACAGTCAGGCTTTTTCAGGCAATGTCTCCACGCCAAAGCCACCCAGAGTCCCTGAGAAAACCAGGATTCAGATGCAAGTCTGTCTCCGAGGCAGGGCTGCAGCGCCCAGGAGCCCTGCACCCACCACCGCCACCAGGAAGAGGGAGAAGGACGCTAACACCTGACGCAGGGAGTCTGACTGCACCTCAGGAGGCTATCCAGAGCCAGCCGCGGGCCTGTCCACTGTGAGCAGAAACGGAGAGGAGGCATCACCTTCACGGGGAGTGCAGCCTTCTGCCAGTCCCAGGAAAAGCAGAATCAGCAGGGCCATCCGCAGAAGCGGCTCGGATCTGCGCATCGTGGGGCGGGATTTGGGTTGGACACTCTCCTTCCAAGACAAACAGGTCTCCCGCTGTCCCCCCAGACTCCCAGGGCCAGGCTGACGATCCACACGTGCCTTCCAGCTGGCCCGGGGCTGGCGGGTACCCACACCTGGGCCGCTGCCTCCCGCTGCTGACGCAGGAGCTGGTCTTCGCACCCGCATTGCTTACTTATCTCAAAGCAACATTCTAGAGAAAATGCTGAGCGTCCAGCTATCCCATGGCCTGCAGAGCCCAATCCTGCCAGTCTCCTGTGATCATCGAGCCTGTGAGCTAAGTGTTCTTCTGTATTTTTAAGTGGTTGGTGGGGGAGGAGGGAAGACAAAAGAATAATATTTCATGACAAGTGAAAACTATACGGAGTGGGAACTCTAGCATCCAGAAAGAACCTTTTATTGGAACACAGCCCACTTATTTAGATACTGCGCGAGGGCTGCCTTGCTACAACGGCAGAGCTGCGTAGCTATGACAGAGGCCGTCTGACCCACAGAGCCTAAAATATTCTCCACCAGACTCTTTACCGAAAAGCTTGCAACTCTGTCCTAGACAAATTGTAATTTTCAGAAAACAAAGCAAAACAAGCAAAAACACCTGTCATACTTCTGCTTGGAGATAAATATTATTTTCACATTCTTGTCCATATACATATCCCTGACACTCACTGGCTGTGTGCCCTGAACAAGGTGCTTACCCACTTTGTGCCTCAGTCTCCTCATCTATACAATGGGGATAATGGTATTTCCACTCTCACAGATGATTGAAAAGGCTAATTGTGTATATATCTATAAAGCACACGGAACGGTGTATCTAGTGTCTCTGTATGTATATCAGGAATGCAGGGGCGCCTGGGGGGCTCAGTCGGTTAAGCATCCGTCTTCGACTCAGGTCATGGTCTCATGGTTTGTGAGTTTGAGCCCTGCGTTGGGCTCTGCTATTAGAGCACAGCCCCCTTTGGATCC